TGTTGCAATCGCTTTTGAACGATGGGTTCATTGCTCTCTCTAATGAGGAGATTAGTAGGATGACAATTCATTTGCCACATTGTCCGACAGAAGGGACCATTCCTCAACCCTTTTACAGATATGCACGGATACAGAAACTTCTCAAAAGGATTCCTCCCATTGTTGTTTTTTTCACTCCTCATTCCGCTCTTGTCCGTGGACTCCCCGTTCAAGCAGCATCTTCTCCAAATTTTCAACGTCTACCGTATTTTGCTCCACCATCCAGTATGTCAACGTCGATTGTCACAACTTCTGTTGTTGTTTCTGCTTTGCCGACAACTACGACTACTCTGTCTCCTGTCAGTTGTGGTGTTGCGTCCGCTGTTACACCATCGACAGACCATGTGTGTGTCCATACAGGACCCTTCGGACAACCAAGTTCTTCTAATTTTAACATTGGTATACATGACTCTCTTCAATCTATTGGTCCCAAAAAGATACTTGCACACCTGTCTCATCTTAACAATTCCCACAGGATTCAAGATCTTGTGAAAGTAGCATAGGAACTGAATACGAGCATGAAGACTTGGAGGTCTGTGGATGCTACAATTCATCTCAATTACAATCGGCACGGACAAGGTCGATTTTGAACTTTCGAGACGTATCATCGCATAGTGTTGCAACGAGTTTCTGTTCGTGAGGTGCTACAAGAGTATCGTTCCAACAAAGGAAGTTGATTAGTCTTATAAGAGATATAGGAAGAGAAAAAGATGTTGATTGTGGTCGTTCAGACCTTGCCTTAATGACAATTTTTTAGATTGTAGTCTTCGCTTTCAGTTACGTAATTGCCCCTACAAGAGATATGGGAAGAGAGAGACAAATAAATGGGGGAGGGCGAAGAGAGAGAGAGAGAGAGAGATGACTTAAATAATTTTGACGTAATATTATTGTGCTTTTTAAAGTCAATGTTGATTCCATTACGCAATAATTGTGTGTTGGTCATACTTGGGCCACTTGCTTTCTTTAATGGAACGAAAAATCTTAATATGAACCTTTTTTCCTTTATATACTCGTGTTCGTCTTTCTTTATTGTTTACTCTTTTGTTGTTCCTCTCTCTCTCTCTCTCTCTCTCTCTCTCTCTCTCTCTCTCTCTCTCTCGCTTTCTTTCTCTCTGTTTTTTTTCTCCCTCTCTCTCTCTCTCTCTCTCTCTCTCTATATATATATATATATATATATATATTTTCTCTCTCTTTGTTTATCTTTGTCTCTCCTTGCCCGTTCTCTTGCTTTTTTGTTTTTCTTCTATTTGTCACTTTTTTAATTCGCGAATTGAAGTCGGGCAGTATACCCAGTTTCATACTATTCTTACCAGTTTCAGACTATTTTTTATTACCCTGTGTTTCAGTTTATGTGAATGGTCCGTGTGAGGTTGCCTACAACATTTCTTATTTTTGTGGCCATGGCCCGCACCGACTGCACCACGGGCGCTTAACTAGTCCATATAGAGTGGACATGAATCTAACAGGTGTCTATGCAATTGTCAGTCCCTTTTGCAGGAAGTTCTATGCATGATGTACAGTGAGAAAGATAGTTACTTGATGGGTGGAGCGCGTGTGGTGTTCGAAGTCATACGGTGTCGGGAACGCAAAGATTCTTTGGGTGGAAAATTATGTAGTTCTACCACTTGTGACAGATGTACGAGGTAGGTTAGCAGTTGAGAGCATGCTGATCCGGAGGTTCTCACTATTATTAAACATGATTGGTGAACTGCGAAACCGAAGCAGAGGTGGCAGAGAGGGAGGAGACGCTATGAGGGGAACTTGGTGAAGATGGGAGTGATTGTCATGTTTGATTATGACCAAATGAAGTATGCGTTGCTGATTGATTTGCTGGATGGTTTGATGGAGGTAAAACAAGAGAGAGATTTATGCCCTAATCTAGGTAAAATCTAGTTCGACTTTTGGAAGAGGATTCGGGAGAAGTATGGCGAGTCCGATGTTGTGATCGAACTGTATAGGAAGAAACGAAGGGCCGAAGTTGAGGGAGGCTGTGCACAATTTGTATTGTGAATTTGAAAGCGACTCGGACAGGGATACAAAGGAACAAAAGTTACTCGCGCGACCTCTTAGTGCAACCATGGCGAGTAAGGAACTTGTTCAAGCTGTCGAGTAGAAGGATGGTAGCGTTGTCAGGACGAACGATTTGTTTTCCATGAATACGACGAGGAGCTCCCTACGATTAAGATTGGCACGTGCAATCAAACATAGATTTAGTGTTGAGGTGAGAAAAAAAAATAAATTATAAAAGTTATGTTTTCGACTCAGATAGATCCGAGTTCGGTTAGGAACTTGGCAGTAAAAAATATCTCGCTGCCGGTGAAGAATAGAGTCATTCATTCTCTGGTTATAGAAAGACCGAGGATGGTTAGAATGAAGAGAAGAACAATTAAGAGTATCGTGCATAATTACAAGACGAAGTTGAAGAAGAGACAAGAAGTACGGTGGCTTCAGCGTTGTCAAGTGCATGTACGTATCAGACCGGACGAGGTGGAAGGGATTCATTGCTTTGTGCACAGCTCAAGAAATGTCACATGTGGACGAATGTTGATATAGGAACAACTTGTTGAGCGCATCAAGCAGTACCAAAGACTTGGAGCTCAAATCTATATCAGATCAAGGATGAAGACATAGCGCAAACTTTCACGAGAACTACGTAAAATCTAATCAGCATAATAAATATATCACAACAGATAAATTACAGCAGTAAACTTTGAAATTATCGCAAGAACTAAGTTACCTACTGATTGCCGCAACGTACAGAAAACAACAACCGATACTTTAGAATATCAAAATTAAAAAAAAAAATTAACGCACAAAACTATGATCCTACATGCATTTGTCGATCCATCATTTTCTCGCCTCACACTGCCAGCATACCAAGCACTCGAGCAACCTTGTCCAAGGTTCCTTGAGCTCCCTCGTGCCCTTAGCAAACCGTGCTAGGGCTTTGAAGAAGAAGATTAGTGGAAACAGTGACCAACTGTCTTTCGTACACACTTCGAAAGCTCTTCATTACATAGTCGCGAGTACTCATCTCAACTCACGCACACAATCCCCGACGCGTTTCGATCGATTGCACTCCGATCATCGGTAGCGGGCTAACCTCATGACCCTGCCTTGCGGCCCACCGACGATCCTCCCGTCCTGCTTAGTATAGAGGACCAATACGGTCTTGTTCTCCTATATATTGTCCATCGAGCTATTAACCTAGCTAGCACGGTACTCCCTTCCCCAATGGGCATTTCCATGAGCGACTACGACTACTATTGGTCTGCCCCATAGATGTTATGCCGAGCTCCGTGATAATCCGTTACGTGTCGGCCCCTCAATGGGCAACGGATAGTCAATCCACGTAGGCTTGCGATCATCGACATACTATTTATCCCTTCGGACCAACTTTCACCGCATATATCACGTGTACAGAGTACTATGCATAAACTAGGGGTTCTCTTTCACAGATAGTCTTTCCAACGTTCGCATCCCTCCATCGAGCCACTGCCTCTAATTCCTATTGGGCTAAATCGTGTTGCATGGATCGTAGGCTCTATTCCTATTAGGTGGCCCGGTCACCCAGTCAGTTATACGTGGGCCGTGCGTGACCTGCACAATTTCAGATCCGCCACACAATACATTTTCCCCCTTCGGGAATTAGGCGGGTACAATCCAGTCGTGTCGTGCCTTGACTGCCTAACCAGCAAAGGAGATACAGTGGCGCGCCTGCCACGTATTTCCAAGGACAAAATTGAAATAATTTATGTATGTCTATAGTACGAAGGACCTTAATCCCCCCGAGCCTGCAATTCTAAAAAAAATCCCAATCTCGTCCGCTAATTTCGAACGGTTTCCTGCCAATAGGGGAAATGCGGTCAATTTCTAATTCTATGGTAGTAACTGCGTACTGAAAATGTTCCTACCGTCCGCGCGAACAATTTCTACATAAAATCTTATTTCTACGCAAAACTTTCCACCATACAGTAAACCAAACAGGAAATTTTGTAAGTTCAGTGCCTTATTCACGGCCGCATCCGCCACAAAAATTTTGGTATCGCACTGTTATCCCATTGTACCAGGTTCTCAAGCAGCCTCAAGCAGGGCTCCTTGAGAACCGTGACACTAGTGCCCTTAGCAAATCGTGCTAGGGTATTGAAGAAGAACGCCCTGGTTAACCCCGGCGTAAGAGCTCGTTTTTCAGTGCCAGAACTGGCACGGTTCGCCATTTGTTGAATGTGGAAGAGGCTACCGATTATAGCTCCAATCTTCGCACGCTTGTTGTCTCAATAGGAATTAAATTCCTGGAAACAACAATAGACGAGTTTCTGCTGCACTCCCATTTGGCTCTTCAGTTCGTTCTTGACCCTCGACTCCATGAGGAACTTGGTGTTTCCTAATACGGTCGTAAGTCTTGTCCTAACGAATTCAATGGTGTTAAATCCGTCGTCTGTACGGACCAATGAGAGTTTATCACCATAGCAGCTTGTGAACTTCATCAATATCTCCAACGCCTTACTGATCTAACCTTCTTTCCTTCTATTGAAAGTAACTGCGAGCATCACATCGCCCATAAATCGTACTTCATGGACAAGCTTGCGGTCACCTCCCAGTGATTTCATAAATCCTTCTTCATACTTCGCACAGAGTAGGTAGGCCAGTGGGGGGCTGGAGTTTTTCCCCATTGGCACTCCGATGACTTGCCTCAGCAACTTCCCTAGGTGTGCTGCAATCCGAATGCTACAAAAATCGGAATGTAGTTGAAGGGGAACTTAACGTAGCCTTTCCCAAACAGCTTTGTGCCGAGAGAGACTTGCTTTCTCCTTTTGCATACTATAATTTTCCGGTAGCCCTTCTTTTCCCATTCTCCCAACAGCCAGGATAGCGCGTCCATGATAGCAGCATGCGGAAGGGATGTAAACATTTCCTTAATGTCAAATCCCCTGCACATCATCATTGTCTCTCCGTCATACATATGAAGCTTCTTCTCCACTTTCTTCAAGTTTTGCTTGAGCATGGTTGTTACATTGAGGTTGAAATGCTCTGCCCCGGGGAGCTTTTCCAGTAGGTAGTTGAGCGCCCTCGCAGTCCATCGACTGTCGGTCATCGTGGGTTCACTGCATGCTAGGGCAATGGTCCGCCATCGTTCGAGATCCTTGTGCTTGGGCAGCACGTACGCATTGTCGATCCTCCCCTTTGAGTTCCAGTTCACCAGCTTGTGCAGGCCACGACTTTCAAAGTCTCGCTTCATCTCCTTTAATGTCTCTGCTTCACTGTTGTTGACCTCGTCATAAGCCACGCTCCAGGCAAACATTTTATCCAGGCCATGCTGCTACGTGGATGGACACATCAGCACCATGTCACCCTCGTTCCTGTCGACTTGCGTAATTAACAAGTCCTTGAACTGCCTTTTTACGGCGTAGACTAACCCTTTGTCCGTGACGCAGCGTTCGCTCCGTTCCAATGAGAAACAACCACTAGTCTAGAGATTAGGCAGATGCTTGCCAATTCAGCTCCCGAGCACAGTTTTAAGCGCAAGTCGTATGTTGCTGCAGACTTTTTCCTTTTTCGTCTTGAGCTTCAGACAGACCACGTTCTTCCCATTGAGAGCCAGGGCCGGTAATCTTGGGACATCAACTATCCTTGTGAGCACGTGGCCACTAACGACGGGTAGGTCATAGTGCTTGTACGCGCACGGTAGTTCCGACTTCTTACTCAGAGTGCTTGTAGTTATAAAGCATCTCAACTACGTTCCTGTTTCTTCTCCCGACTACCCTGGCCTTCCTTTTGAAGATCCCTGCGATTGCAAGGTGCAGACCGCAACTCTCAATATTTGCGGAAAGCACACTCCTAATGCCACTCTTCCTCACCTCATTCATGTACCTGACCTAAGTTGTGATTCGCTTCCAGATATTTACATAGGCTTTCTTTCCCACCGCTTTACCCAAAAAATCCTTGATCGTTCTCCTCTTTTCCTAAATTTCCTTCTCTTTGAACGAACCAGCGCAGCTGTAAAGGTGCATAAGCTTATCAACTGACATAAGCAACAGTTCTTTCCGCTTGAAAGGCATCTCTAAGAGCTGCCGCAGGTAACCCCTCCCTTTGTCTCTTGCATTTTGTGTGATGGTGATGGGGGCAATCGAGAAACTACCCCCCTCCTCAAACCAGGTTTTCGAGTGGGGTAGAGCTATCTTTCCTACCTGCGTCACGACAGTCGAGGTACCAAACAATCTCTTTACTAACGACGAATCTTCTCCCCAGACTTTGCCACCTTCACTACTGTTTCTTACCCTCCCTATAGGCTGAATCTAGACACATCTGTCAGCTAGTGTTACCGAACGAACTATTACTCTTCCGAAATACGATGATACGTGTCCGTTTTGCCACATCCTTTCTCTTGTCTCCGACTGCCCGCGCTTGCCTTTCCCTTCTTCCTGGCCTCTTCTTTGCATTCCCTTTCCGCCCCGTGCCCAACATGTTAAGCGACGGGGAAAACCTTTTGATGAGTGTCTTCTCTAGGTTCTCTAGACCGTTGGCCTCCGAGGTAGCAATAGGAATAATGACATATCTATTCCAATTAAACTTTCTCAGCCACTTGTAAATTAGTGGCGCTCTACCCTCCGTACCTCATTCCGTGCATCTAACGTGCTCCCACCATCTTTCCGCAACACCTCTAATGGACCTGCCGATGTACGTTTTCCTGCACCATGGCGAAACGAGACAATACACTACAAGTTGCTTAAAACCATACCATTTCCAGTTCCATGGTACTAAGTCTAGGAACTTCCTCACCCACGGGGCATGGCCCAGCAATACTAGCAACACCGTACCAGCGGTAGAGGCTTTATCGGTCACCAGTCTGAGTTTTGATACTCCTGTGTACCCCCAAATCGTCTCTCTCAAAGAAAAGAGAATGACAATGTAAGCCCAGATGAGCTTTACCAGGGGCACTAATCGTCATTGATACCGAATGTCTTCACGCTCCCATGTCTCCTCCAAAAGCCCGTCGTCATCGCCCCACGCCGATCTATTCAAAAGTTCACGAACGCCTTGCTCCTTAGAGATGTAGGTGATGTTCCTCGCCTCACATAACCTCTTGACTTCCCGGCATTCCTTCGCCATGAGCTTAGATCTGGTATCCAGGATGTTTCGCACTATATTCCCTTTGCTACTAGAAGCGGAGGTCTCCTTTACGGAAGAGGCGCTCTTCGTCGGTGTGCATGCCTTCCTCCTCAAGCTTTTCTCGTAATCCGCCCTTGACATGACCCTTGCTTCTTCCTCTCAGCCGTCCAGCGCTGTGAAGGTCTTTGCTGTTCACTTCCCTCTTGCTCTCTTCGGTGGTACCTTCGAACCATCGTCCGTCAACACTTCTTCCTCCATCAAGTAAGTATCCAGCCCACTCGCAAGTACTTCTCTGTCCCGTTTCGTCATCTTGGAGTTCACCGCTAGTGTCATTTGGATTTCAGTCCTTATCTCCACTCTGAAGTTACGCAGAACCCTTGATACTGCCGCTATCGTTCGCAGCTCCCCCTCTTCTATCTTCATGTCTCTTCTGTCGCATTCCTCCATCATTCTTCGCTCGATTTCCGCAAACATCCTTCGAATCTTCTCATCACGCCTATCCTCTTCCAAATAGCTGGCTTCTTCGCTTGGCTTCTTTCTCTTCTCCTCCTCTACCTTCTTATTCTCCTCTTCCTCCATTTCCTTCTACATTTTGTAGTCCACCCACCTGACTACCCGGTTTATGCTATCCTCATTCTCCTTCCTCGATTGCCAATACTTCGTATTGTTAGCAAAAGCACCTTGTCCTTTGCCCGCCGGCCAGTCTCTCGCGATGTGGCCTGCTTGGCCGCTGTTGAAGCAGATGATCGAGCTTCCTGCCCCGCCTGCTCTAGTTCCGGTAGTGCCTGATGACGCCATATTGCTAATGTGCACATATAAAAACTTCGGTAACTCTCTCATATAACCGACTCTATTCGTCCTCCCTCTACGTGTGACAACTCCGCTACTGTTAGCCGCTATAGATACACCTATCTTGCTGCTACCTTTCTGTTACACTATCTGTTCCCATGAAGCCGCTCGTCGACATAGCCACCAGTGTGAGTATCTCCTCTCATCCGGTTACCATGCTACACAGAATAGTGGAAACAGTGGCCAACTGCCTTTCGTACACGCTTCAAAAGCTCTTCATTACATAGTTGTGCGTACTCATCTCAGCTCACGCGTACAATCCCCGATGCGTTTCGATCGGTTGCACTCCGATCATCCTCGGGGGCTAACCTCATGAACCTGCCTTGCGACCCACCGACGATCCTCCCGTCTTACTGAGTATAGAGGACCAATACGACCTTGTCCTCCTATGTACTGTCCATCGAGCTGTCAGCCTAGCTAGCATGATACTCCCTTCCCCAATGGGCACTTCCACGAGCGACTATGGCTACAATCAGTCTGCCGCATAGACGTTATGCCAAGCTCCGTGATAATCCGTTATGTGTCGGCCCCTCAACGGGCAACGGATAGTCAATCCGCATAGGCTTGTGATCATGGACATACTATCTATCCCTCCGGACCAGCTTTCACCGCATGTATCACGTGTTCAGAGTACTATGCATAGACTAGGGGCTCTCTTCCACAGATGGTCTTTCCAACGTTTGCATCCCTTCATCGAGTTACTGCCTCTAATTCCCATTGGGCTAAATCGTGCTGCATGGATCATAGGCTCTATTCCTATTACGTGGCCCATTCACCCAGTCCGTTACACGCGGGCCGCACGTGACCTGCACAATTTCAAATCCGCCACGGAGTACATTTTCCCCCTTCGGGAATTAGGCGGGTACAATCCGGTAGTGTCGTGCCTTGACTGCCTAACCGGCAAAGGAGATACCTTGGCGCGCCTGCCACGTATTTCCAAGGACAAAATTGAAATAATTTATGTATGCCGATAGTACGACGGACCCCCCGAGCCTGCAATTCCAAAAAAAGTCTCTATCGTGTCCACTAATTTCGGACGTTTTCCTGCCAATAGAGGAAATACGCGGTCAATTTGTAATTCTACGGTAGTAACTGCCTAATGAAAATGTTCCTACCGTCCACGCGAACAATTTCTACAAAAAATCCTTTTTCTACGCAAAAAATTCCCACCATACAGTAAACCAAACAGGAATTTCCGTAAGTTCAGTGCCTTATTCACAGCCGCATCCGCCACAAAAATTTCGGTTGCGCACTGTTGTCCCATTCTACCAGGTTCTCAAGCAGCCTCAACCATGGTGTCCTTAGCAAATCATGCTAGGGTATTGAAGAAGAAGAAGAAGAAGAAGAAGAAGAAGAAAAAAGAAGAAGAAGAAGAAGAAGAGGAGGAAGAGGGGGAGGAGGAGGAGGAGGAGGAGACGACATTCTAATAGGGGTATTAGGGGGAGGAGTAGGAGGAGGAGCTCTCTCTCTCTCTCTCTGTGGGCCCTAGCGAGGTTCACTAGGGTGTCCAACGGTCCATGGGGGGCTGACCTCCCTGCTGAGTACCTCGGACTACGGAGGATCATGGGGCGGGGGAACGTGTAAACTACAAAAAAAGTGGACAATGTGGTATCAAAGGCCGTTTCAGTCCTGTGGAAAGGTAGCTAGTATGATAGGGTCAATGTGGTCTGTGCATGCCGTCTTTTTGCGTAGGATACGGGGTTGAAGAACCCAATGTTTTGTGCAACTGGTCGATACGGGGTAGAAGACTCCAATCTTGCTAACAATTAGCGAAGTAGCTGGATCAAGAGCATGGGACGGACAGGCTAGACCCTGTGCGCGATGAAGTTAGCTGTAGGAACGACACGTACTAGTCAGCCAAAGGGCACTACGTAGTGAGTTTGGTATATTGGCATGCTCGAAGATTATGGAGGGCGGGGAAAGGCAGAGTCAGGTAGAGATGGGGGATGCGGGAGAAATGGAGGGAACACTGTAATGGGACTTTTTGATTAATGGAAACTGAGCGGGAAGAAGGGAAAAGGGGCGCGCAATGGAAGGAGAAATGTAAGCGGATGAGATGACGTGGTAGGAACGAAGGAATCACTATAATGGGAAACCGAGCTTGGAGAGGGAGACGGGAGATGTAGCGAAAGACGAAAGATAAGCGGGATCTAGGATGACAAAGGAGATGGATGTGGAAGGAATGAAGGTGGGGTGGGCAGGCAAAAAGGCGGGTAGGAGGGTGATCGTAGAGGTGGAGCGGCAAGGATCGGCAGGATGCGTAGGATCACAGTGAGATGAAGAGACGGGTAAGACGGGGGAGTAGAACTACGGGCATTGGCGGGATAAGCAGAGCAGAGGGGAATCATAAGGTGGTGGAGTGGGGAGTGGGAAACGTGTGGAGGAGGGGAAGATGGAAGGGGGTTCAGGAACGAGGAGTGGAAGGAGGAAAGGAGCAAGGAGCGTGGAGGAGGGGAGGAGGTGAGAGAGACAAAAAGAAAAAGAAAAAGAAAAGGGAGAGGAAAAAAAGGGGGATGTACGAAGTTGTTTGTACCGAAGAAAAAAGAAGGGAAAGAATCTCAAACGGAAAGCTGGTAAGTATGCAAGTCTTTTTATGTGTGCTTTTTTTAGCTTGTTTTAAGGAAAATGTTACGGTCACCTTGGTAGTCGAGACAATGGATGAGAATGTTGAGGGAGAAGACTTGGAGGGGGAGAAGTATTTTAGCAAAGCCAGATGGATGGGTTGGTATCACGATTCGAATGACGAGCGGTGGTGTGGTGCTCCTGATGAGTCTGTTGTGTACGTCGGTGGCGGAACCCGTAGGGGTGTGAGCATACTATTGTGGATTTTCAATGTGTGAGAAGCTTTAATTTTGAAGAGGATCGATACGAACGCGTCCGAGTGTGTGTGGTGATTGGCTTTGGTACTCAAATGATCACTATGCTCTTATGCATATTTCTCTATTCTCTCTCTCTCTCTCTCTCTCTCTCTCTCTCTCTCTCTCTCTCTCTCTCTCTCTCTCT